GATAGCACAGAAATAAGCATAAAGAAAAGATTTTAGTCCACGAGTATATTTCATATTCCGATACAATTTTCTATGAACACTGTTTTTTGAAAGAATTCTCGATTTTGTTCGCTGTTTTTTTGTCTATCTCACTGGAATTTTTCGATACAATATGTGATTTCAATCGATCAGTTTATCGACCAGATTGGTTAATCATTTCTTAACAAACTCTCGATATTGATTCATATCATTACAAATATTCGAAAGACGTGGAAATCTTCGAAATATTTCATTTTACAAAAAAATATAGAAGTATTCAATAAATATACAATATGAAATTGAGCTTTGTAAATCAGAATTTGTATTTTTTCAAAAATAAAATCCTATTATGCGATCAGACTTTTCACAATTCGGTCTGATCATTTGGAATTTCAAAAAATTAAATATAATGCTGGTTTTGCACCACCTGGATTGCTACTACATATATCTAGCTAAGATAATCCTCTTTTTTATGCATTGAACGGCGTTAGAGTCGAAGTAGCCCCTCCCCCTCTCCCCTATACTAGAAGCCCTTATCGGCTTTTAATATGTTCATCATCTGAAGCTTCTGGAGGAGGCTTCTGCAAAGTCTCAAAAATTTTCATAGACTGACTACAAAAGCGATCCGAAAGATTTCCACAGATTTTTATGAGTTTTTCAGAAGATTTTTAGTGGTATTTTCAGATTTTAGTATATTTAGATTGGAAACAGTGAAATTTTTAGCAGTTTCAGCACGAAAACTCGAAAAAAATTTTAAAAATGTGAAAATGTTTTTGAAAAAATCAGAGGATCTCTGATACGTGAAACACATTACTAATCTCCGATGGGGGCTTCTGTTATGGCAAAGGATTGTAGAAAAGAGTTAAAAATCAGCTCCTGAATTCAGAAGAAATATGATCAAGAGAAAAGTTTAAAAATCAGGAGGTTTGGTAACACTGACCAACACCCTCATATTCTAACAAACTGTCGGACATATATTCACTCCAGTTGAATAATTTGGATTTTTTTAATATTTCATCGTGAAATTGATACGTTCGAAGAATGTTCAGGGAGTGAGAATATTTTATCTATTAGATATGCACACTCACCAACATTCATACTTATATATATTTGCCAGATATTAATGTTCATTTTCATTACATGATCTCAATATGTATACGATGTTAAGTTTTATCAAAGAGTAAAACATCGAATCACGTGTATTAAAACTCCAAGTTCGTCAGTTTCCCTTTTATCATTTTATATTTGCACAGCTACTTTCACCATTATTTCTTTTTGTTACGTGTCTTTTTCTTAATGTCCGCTTATCGATACACTCGTCACATGCTTTTTAGATTATTGTACTTTTATCTTCGTTTATTTTTGTTTCGTACGTAATGTATTATTTTGATTTATGATGAATGTTTTATTTTCTTGAAAAAAGTACATAGGTTATAATATATGTAATAAATACATCATACGCTGAAGAGTTAAAATTGAGTCCTTTAACCTGTACTTTTATCAAATATGATGCCGTACTTTGACTTTATCTTATTGCTCTTTTATCTCTCCTCATAATCGTTTACTGTTCTATTTTTATTCTTCTATGATTATGTATCAGTGGGGTAGCTAAAAATCTTCCAAGGGAGGTGCACGCCAGCAGAAAAACTCTTCGCCCTGCGAATGTCCTTTTTTAATCTGTATCCCTCCTTCCCTGGCTACGCCCTTGTCGTATATATAATGGAATATTTTGTATGAACAGAAAGCATTTCTTATATTACTGAATTCTGCATTGGTAAATGTAAAACGACAAATTCAAGTACAGAATCATCGAACAAGAAGAAATATTAACCGATAAAGTCTACAATGGAGGATACAACAGTTAATGTGGAACAACAACAAAATCTATTAGCTTCGTCAGTACAAACAAAACGATCTAAATCAAAGTAATTATCGTATTTATTGGACATAATTTTACAGAATATATACTCGATTTAATTTTTGCAGAAATAGATTGTCGCAAACTGTTTATAGAGCAATAACTGAACATTACTGGCCTATATTATTATTACTTGTTGTTATTATGATTGGCATTGGAGCAGTGGCCTATTTTCCTCGGCTCAAATCAAATGAAACTGAAGATGGTATTGTTCTAAAACAAGGTAAATCATTCCCATATCTTATATCTCAATGATAGTGAAATAGAATAAAAAAAGGCTGTCATAACTAATGAATCATAATTTGCGTCATATTTGGAGTATATGTAACTGTAAAATGCATGAATAACATATATAAATACAACTTGAATTCATCTCTTTATTTATGAATTATAGGAACATCATTCAATCAAGATCGGCAGGATGCTAATCAACGAAATCCAATGCAAATGAATTTTGAACGAGTAAGTTTTTCTCAAGTATTCAATGGTATATCTAGTTATTTTTAAATTAACAAGCCCAAACCACCTGAGGCACTTGGTCGCGTAGCTCTTTACATCCGAAAGCCATCTTCAGATGATGATGATGATCGCAAACCTCCTCTACGTGTTTATGTTCCTGCTGCTCGCTATCATGTGCGACGATTTCGTATGTTTGCCGATGATTTACCTATCTTTCGATGTATTCGATAATTTTCTTTTGTAGCTTTGAAAGGTCCATTTTTAAATTTCATGCCTTCAACACCTATCTTTGCTAATCGAGCAACTCAAGAAACGATTATTTATTCATCGATACGAGGTAAATAGTATTCAAATACAAAGACAATATTTATTCTACGGTGATTTTAGGTTACATTCTGCCTGCATTGGTCGATGGTCATGGCCAACTATATTCGATTGCCAGACTTATTGCAACAGGTTATGCTAGTTTCACCGAAGAGGAAATGCATTCATCCAAATCAATTGATATGAATACTTATTTTGAATCAAGCGCAGGTCTGTTGTCTCCCTAAAATTCTCATCTTATATTAATCTAGTATATTATAGTTCCTGGTGCTCGTATTCCAAAAATCGACACTCGAAGAGGTGGTTTTTCGAGTGGTCTCCGTGTCAACATTAATTCTTTTGATATTTATGGCGAAGAAGATATGAATGATGATAGTGAAGAGTACAATGAAGAGGATAATGATAAAAACAACAAGCATCGTCATACATATGACAAACCACGTCACCGTAATTCAAGTAATATAAATTTGCTTTAAGTTCTCTCGCCCAGATAGAACTAAAACATTTTTCATGCCATGGAAGTATTTTGTTTTATTTGAAGGACCATCATACAGAACAAAACCATCAAACAGAAAGACTACAAGCTCATCAACATCCACCACCACCACAGGTGAATACTAAGTGAAAAAGTTGTTCAAGTTTTTTTCTTTCGTCTTGAGAGTGTAGGGATGAATGTTATCTTTAATTAATATTCATACCTACACCCATCAAGTCAAAAAGATACTCTTAATGTTGACAATTAAAATATATTTCATGCTGCTTTTACAATTAGTCATCCTATACTAGACTATTTTTTTTTTCATAGAAGACGACTCATCAGAAACGACAATAACATCAACCAAGAAGACCATGAGTGCATCAACATCAACAAAGAGTAAGTACCATGTGAAGGAATTTTGAGTCTTGTTTTACCGTACAAATAGAAAATACTGAGTGCAAATGAAAGTTTTTTACGCTGAATCTAATTTGCTCCTTGATTTTAATTCAAAACCTTTGACAAGTTGAAAAGAATGTCGTGATGAAAGAGAACGTTCGATGCACAACTTTCTCTCTGTTTATCCGTTGAATTAGAAATGAAGATATTTGACACAAAGAATAGATCTACTATTGAAATTATATAAAACTAAAATGAAGAAAATATGAAATTTTGCATTTGTTTAGAATCAGTTCCACATCACAGTCATGCTGATGTTAATTTTACATTGATTATCGAGTACATTTTTCCATATCCTCAATCTACAAAACCTGTTATTGGCGTTAACGGTACATCTCCTGGTCCAACTATTGATGTGTGCGAAAATGATACAGTTATAATTCGAGTCATTAATAAATTAGATGTTCCTTCAGCTATTCATTGGCATGGTGTTCGACAATTGGGTACACCAGATATGGACGGTGCTGTTGGACTAAGTCAATGTGCTATACCTCCAGGACACGAAATGATTTATAAATTTCAAGCAACACCAGCAGGAACAACATGGTACCATGGACATCTTCTCGAACAATACACAGACGGATTATTTGGACCATTAATTATTCGTCGTTGTCCTGTTGAAACATATTCAGATTTGTATCAAAGTGAACAAATACTTACAATCGCAGATTGGTACAATATTCCTGCACACACAGGACTCATTCCTTGGCATTATAGCCCGCTAAATCCTGTTGGTTTTCCTCCTCCACCAGATGCTATTGTAGTAAATGGTAAATTTACTGAGCACTTGTACATCCCAGTTAATGGTGCAGAAGTTATTCGATTTCGTATAATAAGTGCTGCTGCATTATCAATGTTTACAGTGTCAATTGATGGTTGTAGGTTATCCATTATTGAAGTTGATACAACAACGACCATACCTTATCCAGTCGATTCATTTACACTAAATGTTGCTCAACGTTGTTCGTTCTTGTGTAACTTGACCGACTTAGATCCAACTTATAATGCATCCAGTGTCAAGTCAGTTTATATACGAATACAAGCTACCCTTTCAGTATATCCTCAAGACGTTACTAATTTTATTCCTCCTTACGAAAATCAGTCTTATCCTTATCCAACTTTCTACAATCCATTATATCTTGCATTTTTATCACTTGATTCAACAAACTCAACACCAACATATGCAGCTAGTTCAGCAACTCCAATCCTATCGAATGTTACTCCTCCACTAGATACAAATATTCTAGATGCACGACCTCTATTTCGAAATGCAAATGGAGTTCCGAATGCAACTCATTATTTAGCTATTGCGGTTGGATTTGGTGTAGGACCAAGTGGATTCGGTGATGCAACAGTGAATGGCGTCTCATATAGTTCAGATGCTAATTATATGCATATGAGACCTGATCCACCAACGGGATTTACTTCAGACTTATATGAACCATTACTCTATCAAATGGTAAGAAAGCCTAATCAATTAGCAATTTCATCACCTCTTCTGGAGGCAGGAAACGACTTGCCAGTCATTCAAAGTGATGCAAATGGACATTATTTAATCCCTTACCTAGCTTGTGTTGATATTTATATAACCAACCCAATTGGTGGTGAACATCCGTTTCATTTACATGGCCATAATTTTTGGATTGTTTCAACATCGGATTATCCCGAAGCTGAGTTCCTGTATGCCGACGACTATACTCAACGTGATACTGTCAGTGTACCGGGAGGCGGTTGGGCTAAAATCCGATTTGTAGCCGATAATCCTGGTGCTTGGTTCATGCATTGTCACATCGAATTTCACATGGCAATTGGACTAGCAGTAGCTTTAATTGTTTCACCTGACCAGCTTTTGACTAATGGTTATACTATTCCACAAAGTGGACAAAAACAGTGCGAAGCACTACAACGATTCAATACGACTTATGATCCTGTAATACCATCAAATTAACTAATAAGAACAACAATTTATATTTTATAAAACTCTTCATTTTTTTTTTCAATAGAAATTTCTATCAATTTAAATTTTAATCTATGTATTTTCTTAATATAGTTTGACACCTTTTCAATAAATGATATTCTTAGTAATAATTTTGTCTGATGAAAAGAAACAATTCATAGAGTATATTACATTCAAAACTAGTATGAGGAGGTAATACTCTTTATGCTTATCCACTTTCATCTTTAACATGATATTGATATCATCAAATCTTTACGGTATTTACGAACAGTACTTCAAACGATTCCGATTATTTGATGAAATTCGTAACGAACTCGAAACGCATCAGAATAGCTTTAGTATGCATAAATCTTTAAGAGTTTTACTTAATCAATATTCTTATCTGATGCACTGATTCATGTTATAATATGCAAGAAAAGACAAAAAAAAGTCTTTTTTCTGTGTTTCATCCTTAATAAAACATTTTTTTTTCTCTTATCAGTATCATGTTATTTGCACTAATCAACCACCACCACACTCAGCGAGTGTGAGGTTGATAGATTCTTATCAACACCCACCTATCCGCCATCTTGAGGGTGTAGATGAATGCAAGGTAAGAGAACCAAGATTCACACCTACACCAGTCCTTGTTTAAATTCGATATAATGCATAAGCGAATCCTTGCATAAGATATGCTACGTGTCCAAGTTATTCATCGAAACTTCTACAGTAGAATTAGATTGAATTGATGGACCTAAGTAATTATATTCTCTACTAGAGTTGATTTTGTATAATTAAAATAAAGTTCATATACTTATGTGAATCATTTAGATTAAGATCATATATGTAATACTAATCGAAACCATTGAAAAACATCTTCATCAGTTTTATGAATCTGAAATATCTAAAATAGTTTATTTTGACTTGATTTTTCCTTGAGTTTATCAAAGGATGTTGAATATTAACATCTATTGTTTTGATTTCTCTTTAGCTTTGCTTTGTCTCATCGTTACTAGACATACTGTTTACCTTATTCAATCAGTAGATCTAAACAAATCGAGTATATTTCTATATTTTATTTAGAAAAAAATCTGTTAATCAAGTAATAAATTAATTATTTAAATGTACATATTGTCCATCACCTCTAACATGAAAAGATTCAGTTCTTTCAGCAACATTAAGTCCTGCTATTCGATAATGTAATTCAACATGAGCAGCAGCTATTGGATCTTCACGTGTACCAACATTTTGTACGGATGCTATTTGAACACTTGCATTAAATACAAAACCCCATGAAACTGATATACGTGATGGAATAATTGTAACACGATCTAAATAAGCACCTTTACCATCTAATGAACCTCCATATGTAAATTGTAGTGCATAAGTAAATTGTAGAACACGTTGTTTTAAACGATTATAAACATTAACAGTAAAAGAATGTGAAGCAGGTGGTGATGTCCATGATTGAAGTTCAAATGGATCAGTTATATGTGAAGGTATTACATTACCATATGATGTTTGAACATCAACAACAGCACGGCTAAATAATCAAAAATAAATAAAATGAAATAAAATAATTTTTATTAATTTCACTTGTTATCAACAATAGACCATGCTTGACGAGCATTATTTATTATTGCACTGATTCTGTCGGTTGGAGAACCTGAAGGTGATGTATGTAGTAGGGTTCGAGGTTGAGCTTCGAAATCTGTATCTAATGTTAAATAAAGAAATGATCCAATACCAATAGCAATGGCTAGAACCACTAAAGAAACTGTTGATTTTAATGAAGGAAGTGGCAATGGAATCATCTTTTTTCAACTTTCTTCAATATTCACAATCTGAAATAGAAATAGTGTCATAGAAACTTATCTTATATTCATTAGTCAAGAAAAAAAACATCATACACCTGAATGGATGACTCAAACGAATAGTTCGTTGACACGTATAAAACACGCAAAGAATCATTTACTTTCAAAGCAAGATAATACAAAAATATAACTAACAAAAATGAATGTAATATAAATGAACTGAAGAAAATAAAAAATTTATTTTTTATTATTTGCACTTCTTCAATTTTGACTTATTAGATTTTTATAAAAATTCTTATATTAACCTTGAAAATTATTATTTATTTCTTCTTTATTACAATAATCTAAATTCTATAAATTATTCTAAACTTTCTAAATCAAACATAATCATATTTTATGATTATTTTTCTTTATCAGAAACAACTGAAACATAAAAGAATTCTATAAATACTATAAAATCGTTTAAATAAGTACTGGTGACCTCTTCCGAATATTTTATTTCTCAATACTTCAGTTTATATAAATATGAATTAGAATTAACCTTTTATTTGTTAATAATGTTTTATTTCAATTAATATTTACTCATAAAAGTTAATTCGAAAATTTTCACTTAACTATAAAGAATGAAATCATCTCACTAGTATTTATCTTACCTTAGACTAAATTAATAGTAAAAGACAAATAACAAGTCCATGTTTTATTTTTTTTTCTCATTCTATTTAAATATATATATAAAAGTAAAAATGATATCAAAATGTTAAATAGATCAGCATTGAAGAGAGAAAATCTCGATTTATAAAACTGAACAATTATAGAATTTAATGTAGTCAAGTTTTAATGACGATTAAGTCTATTTAAGTTCTTACATAGAACAGTTCGATTTGACATTAAACTAAAAATGAACTTCTTGCAGAATCTTTTCAAGAAGACAATGTTAATACTCATTTATGCATTTGAAATTTCTACGAAAAGATGATCATGTCATACTTTGTTAAGATTACAGAATTAAATTCAATAGAAAAGATCCTTTTGGATTATAATGATCGACTTGATGTGTCTATAAAGATATATTTCTTACGATTTTCAATAGCAAAAAAAACCGTATAAACTATTAAATAAAAATAATAACAAAAACTAATTCTTGTCACATTTCTCATAAATTATTCTGAATGATTAATTTAAGAATATTTCTAATAAAATATTCTCATTCATATAATTTACATACCATCATAAAATCATTTTATCTTTTTTTAATATACATTCTTCATTATCAATTGTATTTGTACATGTCTACGTGTTATTTATTTCATATGATTAACTCTACAATTACAAAAATAAAAATATTTTAATATTGAAATTGATTTTCATAAAAAAAAAGAAATAGTAAGTACTACGGGATTCTATCAATGAATCGTATAAACTAATCGAATAGCTGAATATAAATCACGGATTAACTGATTTAATGAAGTTTGAGAATAATTTATTCGGATTAATTGATGAGCAAGTATTTGAATAATATATATCACGTACAGATAGCAAATGATGGAAGATTTTTCAATAGAACTAGTAACATTAATAACCAGTCTTTCTTTTTACATGTTCGAACTTCTTAATACGTGTTATAATAAGAAAAAAAGAGATTAAACTACTGATTTAAAAAGTCAGATGACCAGTTTCATATTCATAAATATCAGTATTAGACTGAAGAAAAAAATGATTATTTTATTAAACAAAAAGATTCTAATCTAAAATAGGAATTTGTTTTTTTTCTTCATTAAACTGTTCACATAATGTTTTTTCTTTATTATGCACAACATGGAAATAAAAAGATAATAATACTGTACAATAGAACAATATATAATGATAATAAAAACACCCTTCACTAACTCTCAACATGAGCAAAACTATAAAGAAGAAGAAGCATAAAATCAATTAAAAAAAATTCTAATCAATAGAAGTTTTTTGTTTTAAAAATTGAATAAAAGTTTAATGATGTTGATGTTTAATACCTTTGACAAGATTTGTCAAAAGTTCATTTGTATCAGTTGTCGATAATGAATTATTATCTTTCGTTTTATTGGAAATAAATCGATTGGATTTTTCACGAAGTTCAGATGATGGAAATTTATATAAAAATGTTCCTAGAAAAATAATTCAAATAAAATTGATTTTTCTAATAAATAATTCTAACCTTGTTCATCATAGAGAACATGTTTAAGCATCGTATTCAGATTTGAATCTGATGGTAATTGATATTGTTTTCCCGATGATCGACATTCTATTAATTGTTTAAGCCATTTTTGAACAATATCTGTTTTGATTTTATCCGATGAACTTTTAAAAAAATCTTCTAAAAATCCATTGTCACATTGAAGTTTTTCATATTCATAAGCTAAACAAATATTTCAAAAAAAACATTTTTTCTTTAAAAAAAACAAATGTTACCTTGTAAAAGCATATCAAATATATCTAAATCTTTAACAAGAGTAGCTTCATTAGTTTTTTGATCGGCATATTCATTAAAAAGTGAAAATATTTCTCTTCCAACGTCAGCTGGTAATAAACTTGTTAAATAAAGCATCGCTTCACTTTCTCGTCGATGTTTTTCACTTTTAGGTATACCATCAAATTCAGTTAAATCTCCAACAACAGATTCAGCTAAATCATGTACAAGTGCTAATTTCATACAACGAACTTTCGATTCTTCAGCTACAGTTGGTAATAAAAGTGACATAACAGCCATTCGATACATATGATCAGCTACACTTTCAACTTTTTCGACACCATGTAATACCCAACCTGTACGAAATGTTCGTTTTGCTTGACCAACATAGAGAAGAAATTCCAAAAGACCATCCATATCACAACTCATCTTGATATTAAATTATTTTCGAAATGACATTTCATATACAAGTTTTTTTATGACTTTATTCGACGAACCAATAGAAATTTTTTTTTATTACTTTTTAAGAAATAAATTTATTAGTTTTTAGTAAAATTTAGTTTTTTTAAATAAGATTTCGAATATTTTTAATTAACCTTGACGAAAATAATACGACATCTATAATGTTATTAATTGCAAATAATATTATCAGTTAATTAACAAATCGATTTTTCTGTATAATAAATAAATATTTATATTTTATTTAAAATTAATAAAAATTTGCAAAGAGATGAAACTATGGTAACGGAAGTAGAAGAACGTTAAAAATGATAGAAATAATAATGATCAATGAATCATGAAACTTCTTTAAATATACGTCGTTTTTTTTTCTCTCTCTCTTTTTCTCTTAGACTGATCGATCGAACGGAAATTATCGGTGTGTTTGTTGTCGAGTATAAACAGGAAAATAACGTAATGAAAACAAACAAGAAAATTATTAGAACGGATAGACACTTGTGGACTTTTCAACGGAATAAAACACCATAATAAACACATCTTAATATATATATATACTTATTTTATATTATACAACTCTTTTTATTAATTAATCTTTCTTTTCATCAAAATTAATTTTCTCAATACGATAAACAAAGGTAATAGTCAACTACAGAGTTTAGAAATTTAAAGAGGTTTATATTCATAAAATATATAAAAAAAATGAATTTATTCAAAAAAGGTCGAGACAGTTCATATTCTTTAATAAAGTCTTCTACTATATGATCTGCTTACCAAATATGAATTGTTGTTTTTTCGAAATCGATACATCAATAATAATAATAATAAGTGCTAATATAATTATTTTTCGTGTTAAATAAATTTTGACAAAAATATTTATCTTATATTGATATTAGAATTTATCTCACATTTCTTATATTCTCAATTCCAGTCATTGTATATCTAATATAAACTTCAAGAGAAAATATTGATTATAATAAGTACTTCATTAAGATAAAATAAAATTTCCCTTTTAATATAATATGAAAGAAAGAAATTTTGACTTTAATTAAATAAAATGAATAGAAATTTGGAATATCATTATGAATATCCGATTACATATCAGTTTCATTGTCGAGTGCATCAATTAAAGTATGGCAATTTTAACACAAACGCTTTTAATAACATTTTCTTAGTTTGAAGTGAGCAATGCCTTTACTTTTTCTTCTTCTTCTCCTTCTTCTACTTCTCTCTACTTTCGAAGAGAAAGAAAAAAATAAGAAGAAAAAAATTGCCTTTGGTGTTTGTTTTTGTTAATATATTTGCCAGTACGTTTGAGTATATGTGAACATCACAAACATTACTGTCTATATAAATTGACAGCTTTCTCTTAGATTTTACTATACGAATAATGATTCGTTGTACGAATGACATCATTTTCACTTGAAAAAGGACATTCTATTTTATTTTTTTCTTCTTTATTTTTGTGGAGAGAAAAAAAATGTCTTCAATATTTTTGATCCGTTTAAGTTCTTTTTTGTTTTTCAGTCTGTCAAAAAACAACTCTGAACGCATAAGATTTCTTTTCTTTTTTCTTATTTATCTAGGTGAATTTAATGAATGTTTTGGACGACAAATATCTATTATTATTATTATTATTGCTGTCAGTCATCAAAAACTATGTTAGTTAACATTTGAATAGTCTAGAAATATATGATTTTATATTTTATTTCAGTTATTTTGACCGATCATTGTGGTTTAATGGCACAAGAAAAAACTAAACAAACTTCTGTTTCATCTACTCGTCAGATAGCTCATACACGTCTTTATGATGATGATGCAGTGTATTCAAAATATGAAAAATTAAATAAATTAGGTGAAGGATCATTTGGAACTGTTTATCGTGTTAGAAATATAGAAACAGATGTATATTATGCGATGAAAACAATACAAAAAAAAGTAACAAAAAAAAAAAAATATTTCACTTTATTTCAAAATAAAATCTTTTTTAATTTAGCCTGGAAATAAAACAAAAGCATCAATACTTGATAATGAAGTTAATTTACTAAAAATACTTAAGCATAAAAATCTCATTGAACTTCATGAAGTACTTGACTCACCACAGGTTATTTTCTTAATAAAAAAATAAACAAAAAAAAAACTTTTCTCTTCTTAATATTAGAATTTATATTTAATTATTGAATTATGTGAAGGTGGTGAATTAGGTACACATCTTAAAAATATGGGACCATTACCAGAAGAAACGGTGAAAAAAATAATGTGGAAATTAGTTGATGCCTTATGTTATCTTCATAAAAAGGGTTACGTTAAAAAAATTTCATGATTTTATTTATTTTTTATTTTTTCGTACAGATATTATACATCGTGATCTTAAATTAGAAAATATTTTATTAAAAAATACTCCAACAAGTAAAACAGATGAATTTGATATTCGAGTATATTATTCTTTCTTTTTTTTCTATTTCTTTTAAAATTAAATTTTTATTCAAAGGTTACAGATTTTGGTTTAAGTTTAAAACAGAGTATTACAAATACTGATACACTTCTTAATGAATATTGTGGAACTCCACTGTAAGTTTAACGATTTTGATACAAAATAATCATAATTAAGAAATATTTGTTTTAATTAGTTATATGGCACCTGAAATGTTAGATAATAAAAATTATAGTGATCTTTGTGATGTATGGGCTTTAGGTATTATCATGTATTATTTGTAAGTATACACACAAATTAATATGTAACAATATATTTGAAATCGAATTTTAGATTAAAAAGACGTTAGCTAGTTAAAAGTGAGCAGATAGTTTTTGGAACTCTGTAATTCTTCAAAGAGAAAAGGGGGTGGTCGAAAATCGTCAATTTTTCCTCACTCTAGAAATGACATAATATGAAAGTCCTTGTCACCCAGATCACGAATCCGACATCCGTTTGTCTAGATCTGATCCCACTCTTGCCGTGTGTACCATAGGGGGTACCTGGGTCTCAGTAGGATAGTTCTATGGAATTTCAAACACAAATACACAAAGCATTCAGAAAATTTTCTTTTCCCTCAGATTCTGTAGAGCTTTTTTCGCTGAGCATTTTCGTATAAGGAAGTTTTGAATTCTATTGAGGAATGACGACGCTATCGTCAAAATACAAAACATAATAAAATACGGTAAAATAGTTTAAATCCCTTTTTTTTCTTTTAAATATAGGAAGAAGTCGAGTCATTAATCTCGCACCCACTATATTCTCAAGAAATATGACATAGTAGGTTTTGTAGAGAAAACTATGCTCTATAAAACTTACTATGTCATATTTACTGAGAATACACTCGGTTCGAGCTTGGAGACTCGACTTTTTCCTATGTTTATAAGAAAAAAAATGAGATTTTAAGCTATTTTACTATGTTTTGTATTTTGACGATAGTGTCGTTATTTCTCAATAGAATTCAAAACTTCCTTATATGAAAATGATCAGCAGAAGAAGCTCTACAAAGTTTGAGGGAAAAGAAAATTTTCTAGATACTTTGTTTGACATCCCATAAAACTCCCCTATACTAGACTCAGATACTCCCCTATGGAAATTGGTTAAAAAAAAGGATCACATCTAGACAAACGAATGTCAGATTCGTGTTCTAGATGACAGGGACTTTCGTATTATGACATTTCTAGAGTGTGGAAAAATTCATCATTTTGGATCACCCCCTTTGTCTGACTAATGTAGGTGTTTTTAGAAATTAATTTATGTAATTGATAAGGTTTCATAAGTCTTTTTTTCTTTCTGAAGTCATATAATGTATTGTAGATTCATCGAAAATTTGCTAAAAAATTCTCAAGTCTTCTTAAACTCTATGAAACATTGTAGTTCGCTGTTTGTTTTTGTTATGGAACCGTTGTTTAGTATTATTTATATTCTCATTTAATAGAATATCTGGTCGTCCTCCATATTCTGCCAGTAATGAAAAACGTTTATTGGAAGTAATTCGTACAAAAGAACTTCGATATGATTCGGAAAAATTCAAAAAACTATCTCCCGAAGGTTTTATTAATATTTAATCGTTACATTTATTTATATATTATATTTAGGACTTGCTTTTTTACAAGGTATGCTTAAGTATGATACAGTTAAACGTAAAAAAATGGGAGAATTATTTCGACATCCATGGTTGACGGTAAATTTTCTTAAATATATTATAAATATTCAATAAATATTTTCTCTATTAGGGTCAATCGGATAAAGGAGAAACAAAAGATATATTTACACTGATGCAAGAATTTCAAGCTGAAACCGAACGACCTCGTTTAAGTCCAGAAAATAATCATGCAACAACATCAGATCCAAATGAAACCATTTCACAATCAACATCAAATAATCAATCAGAAAATTCTTTACCATTACCTTCAACTGATCAAACGAAATCAATACCAAATCAAACAAAAACTAATTCACTAGAACGACGACCAACTATTGAACGACATAAACTAACTGTTAAAACAAATCGAAATACATCTGATACAATAAAAGTTCGATTTTTCCTTCTTTTTTTTTGTTTTTCTATTATTTATTTTTCGTAATAGATATCAAGACGTTCACATGAATTAGATGTTACTTCATCGACTAATCATCAATTAATTAGACAAAATGATACTGTAAATTTATTTTTGAAATAATTTAACAAAAATTTCATACTAAATTAGATTATTTTAGACTACATCAGATTTACCTGATTCTGATCAAAATATTTCATCCATTCCTTCATTACAAACAATATCATCAAGATTTCGATCAAATAATCTTCCATTTGATCGTTCTCAATCTCAAGGTGATTTAATTTTAACATCAAAATCGTCTCAACAACGTTTATCAACAAATAATTCACTTGGTCTTGGCACTTCTCCATCACAATCAAGTATAACTCCACGTTCTTCCGTAACAACTACTGTTATGATGTTGAAAAAAAATCGTTCAAATGATTCAACATCATCTCTTCCAAGTATTTCAAATCATCATCATCATCATCATACTAATAAAATATCTCTAGCCGATAAACATTATAGTAATCACTCATAATGTGATCTCTCTTTGTACAATATCTCTCAATGATATATTTCTGTTTTCTTTTTTTTTATAAATTGTTCAATTTTTTTTCTGCTCTTTCGATAAATCGAATTGAATAATAATATGATAAACAAGATAAAATACGATTTATGAATAAAGAAGAAAATTAAAAAAACAAAGTAAGGTCAAGAAATATAAAAACGAAAAACGATGACTTAGAGATGAAAATGTTGGTAAGTAATGATGTGATTGTATATGTATTCATTGACATAGATTTATTCTCATCGAAATATTTTTAGTCTAAATTCAATTGAATAGAAATACAAAGATAATTAAATCTTTTATTTTTATAAGTATATCAAGTTTATCTATAATCATTACCATTTATCATTAAAACTTCTATTGAGAATTCTTAGCCTTGAAACATAAGAGCAGTCATTTATTCATTATTGTCTTGCATCTTTCTCTTTTATGTTTGAGTGAATATACAATAGTTTGATCTATCAAGGTTAAATAAAATACAATGCAATAACTATTTATCAATCTAAAAAGAAACTAAAGGTCGATTATATCATATATATATATTATAATATATTATTTGTATAGGTCTAATATTTCTTATTGAACAACATTGGGTATTTAAAACAAAATGAGTCTAGGTGGATTTTCATCATCTGGTTGTGTTAGCAATCAAGGTAAAGAAGGTATAGAAGATATTCAAGGAAATGAATATTCAACAGGTGGAAATCATTCATTTGGAATGTCATCGTCAGGTTCAATTAATAATCAAGCACATTTAAATTGTAAAAATAAAGATGATATTGGAGAACATAAAACAATTTCAAATAATCTTCCAAGAAGTATTCCATTTAAAAACTAAAATTCAATTTATTAAATATAAACTTCGATTTTTATATTTTAATTATTTATTTTATAAAACTAATAAAAAAATTTCTAAAATCATATACAAATAAGTTTTTATTTGAAATTGTTAAGGTAAAATAATAGATCGAATACTTGTTGTTTCACTAGTTTTAACACTAGGTGTTACTGCACGTGAATGACATTTACATTTAATATATCGAAAAAGTTTAAGAGTATGTTGTGTTAATACACTACATTCAACAATAACTAAATGACCTTCATTGCTAATACATAATGCTTGAGGATAATTAACATTGTCGGAAGGTTTTAATAAAATTTCTACATTATTATTTTTTAAATCAGGTTTAACTGAATAAATTATTGAATTTATTGTATCAATAATAAGAAATTGTCGATTACGAATATCAAATGTAAGATAATTTATATGAAGAAATGGTTGATTATCAAGTTTGATTGTACGAAGATGTTTACCAAGTATACTTAATTGATAAATACAATTTTTTGATGCAATAGGATTACTAATAAAAAGTGAATTATCATTTGGATCCATACATAAACAAAATGGAATTGAAATTGTTTCTAAAATAAAATAAAAATATTTATTTGAAATAATTATTTCTATTTTATACTTTTTATTGATAATAATTTATTCAGATTAATTTCAGCTATTTGATCATTTTCTTTTGTTAAATAACAATTAATAAAACCTTTTTCACATGATACAGCAATAAATTGTTTATTTGTTCCAATAAAATAAGGTTTTTCTTTTGTTATTATATTATATTTATGTATAAATTCACCACGATAACCAATAAAAAAACATTGTAAACGTCGATTATTTGTATCAGCTACAAGAATATATGATGATGAATCTTCGATTAATTCAACAACATTTGATGGTGAATCGAATTGATAGAGACCATTTCCACGTATTCCACCACATGTTGAACGAAACATTAATTGAGATGTAAAAAGAATTAAACGACATCGTTCTTGTTCACATACAATTATTGAACCATCATTTCCATTTAAACAACAAATTGAACGTGGCCAATTGATATTATATGCATAGGTTGCAAGTAATTTTTGATTCCTATTTTAATAAGAAAAATATTTTAGAGAAATAAAATATTTCAAATTACTTTTTCTTAGTTTTATTATCAGAAATATCATTTTGAAAATGAATAGCTTGATGAAGACTATGATGAAGATTTTCAATTGAAGCACTTTTATCATTGACATTTTTGAATTGTAAACCACAATTATGTCCTATTTATTTAAGAAATAATTTATTTTAAGTCAGATGAATAAAATTACTTTTATTTGTTGCAACTGAATATGGTAATGATGAATCTATGCTACCTCGTCGAAAACGAATATCAACTTGTGAATAACCAGGTGGAAATATACGATCTTGTGAAGCCCAATCAACCATTTTTTACTTTTGAAAATTCTAATGAAAAACAAATAGAAATTTTAAAAAGAAAATGTTCTTTTACACGTGCTTTTTTCATGTTATTTGAAAC